AAATAAAGAATTTGTTAAGCTCTTTAATGAGCAGAAATTTAGACCTAGAACGGCTATTTTAAAAGTCTGGTTTGAATATCCTGCTAACATGTTCTTCCAACCCATACCAGCTAAAGATAAAATTACTTTTACGAACAAAGAAGGTAATAAGGAAACTGGCACTAAAATCAGGTTCAGAAATGGTTTCTGTTCAGAAGTTTTAACATCGGTCGATATTCAAGAAATAGTTAAAGCCGGGGGACGAATTATTAAAATATTAGATGATATAGTATACGAAGAAAATTTTAACTCCACCATATAGAGATTACATTTTAATTTTGAGAGATCTAGGAAATAAATATAAACGAGAAGGTAATATCGTAGGTAGTAATTGCATGAAATTATTAGGTAATTCATTGTATGGTAAATCTATTCAGAAGGATATAACTACATCGAGACATTTATGGAGTGAAGCAACTTTAAAAGCCAACTTCGATTCACACGTCAAAAGCTATCCTAAAGTAAATGAGACTCAATATATCGTTGAGATAAATGAAGAAGAAAAAGAATTTGACTGTACACCTCCTAAATCTACACGACTAGCACCTAGTCATTTGGGGTCATTCGTATTATCTCACAGTAAAAAAATAATGAATAATTTTATTCACGTAATAGATGGATTTTATAAGCCGGAAATATACTATACAGATACTGATAGTTTATACATTTCGTCTAGCAATTGGGATAAATTAAATGAAGCTGGGTTGGTGTCCGAAAATGATTATTGTAAAGGAAAGAATGATTACGGTGATGGTGGAATTATATATGGTTTATATTTAGCGCCAAAAGTTAAATATAATATTATTCTAACTTCCGACGGTATTCTAAAAGAAAAGAAAACGTTTAAGGGTTATTCTAATGATAAGATAAGTGTAGAAGATTATATTCGATTAGCTAGTGGACATGATGTGACTAATGAATTTAAGAAACCATGAGTAAAAAGTTTCACCAATGGAGTAGTTATTCCAAAGGATGATGATAAACAAAAGAAAGTTTTTAGAAGTTATCTCAATCTCGTTAAGAGAAAGGCACCGGACAGCGAAGGAATCATGTATCCTTATAGTGATAAAGATGACTTGAGTTTGGATGAAAACTACGAATTTGATGATTTCGATTACCTTATTATTCAAGAAGAGAATGAAGAGTCGTTAATTTAATTTTTTTGTTTTAAATGAAGTTGAATAACAATTTCCTCGTTACCAAAATCTATAAACCTATTTTTACCATCTTTGATTTCCAGATTTATATCTTTAATCATAAAGGAATTAAGTGGTAAATACGTTGTTTGAAATGGTTTCTCTATAATTCTATATCCAATCGGTACAGTGAATGTTGGAAGACTGTAAATAATTTGACGTTTGTATTTATTGAAAAATCCACCGTTTATTAAATTGCAAAGTATATTTATGACATCGATATCATTCTCGATATTAGCTTTGTGTGGTGCTAAAGTGGATTGAGTGTATATTTGTTTATCAAATCCTAGTAACGCATTCAATGAATTTTCTACGTTGAAATCAACTTGACTATTATTTTTTAATATCAATTTTATTTTGTTCAGATTCAAATTACCTTCGATTTCAATATTGTTTTTACCATTTACACTTCCTCCATATTCAGATAGGTATTCGTTAATGGCTACGTATTCGTAGCTTCCTGGTAGGAGTCTTTTTAGTATACAATTCGCTTCATTAAATTGTCTGTGTGATCGATGTCCTTCCTTCATTGCCGCTAATATTACTCGTAATCTATTAAGTAGTATCTCGTTGTTGTCGGATAAAAACGTTATACCTTGTCCAGATACCATATCATCGAATTCGTCTATTTCTTGTATGATTGGATTGTTGTCTTCAGCATAATCACCCACTTCGTCAACTTCATATTCATCATCATGTTCAATTACTCTTATATATAGTTTAACTTCTTTCGATCGTCTTGTTTCGGGTCCCGTCTTTCTTATTGCATCTAGAAATTTTGAGTATGCTACTAAATCCTTGCGATCGGCAATGCAAACATCCTCGCCATTCATTAAATCTATTAATCCTTTTGTTAATGTTAATATAAAATCTTTTGTATCGATTTTGAATAAAGGGGAATTTGGACTAAATATTATTCTTAAACCATTAAACAATAAACCTTGATTATCAACGATTGGTGAAATGCTCTTTGGTAAATCTGGGCTAGGGTTTGAAAAAAGACGATTTATATCATCTAACTCATTTCAACTTGGGTCTTTATTTTATTCTTAGCTTTGATATATTCTCTATTTCTTTTTAAAATATTATTCCAATTATCCATTTGTAAAAAATTAAAATTAACATATGTCGATCATTACTCTTTCACCCGCAGGTTTTCTAGTATTTACAAATACATATCTATGATCATCTGGATTTCTCCATTGAGCTTTACAAACCTTTTTAAATGTATCTCTATCCATTCCGTGATTTTTCGACTGAATGATTTGAGATAAATCTTTATTAATTCAAATAATAAAAACAATTTGCATTTTTTCTAATGAACATAGAATCCATCCCGTAAAAAGATTGGGATTGGTATATGCAGTGACAGTTGTGATGTCTTCCTTTCGTGAAGAATTCCTGTTGAACAGCTTGATTTCTTTGCGCTACGCAGTCGTCAAACAATATTAAGTTCTTTCGATTGCTATCAATATTAGACAAGTCTAGATCATTAACATTTTTCGTAAGAAAAACTTTTATATCCGTTGGATTCTTTGATTTAATGAAGTTATCTATATCTTTTATTTCCACTTCTTCTTCGTTTTCTTCGTAATATTGAAATATGCCGTGAACATCTTTCTTTGGTAGATATTCTAAAGCTTTGAGGAATTGATAATACGATTGCTCTGGTGTTGTTGTGTAGATATACAAAGAATCGAAATCTAAAAGGTTTGGTGTTGTCAACATGTTAAAAGTGAGATGAGTTTTCCCAGAACCGGAACTACCGCATATACACATGAGCATTGGGTTATTAGGAAATATTTCTGAATGATTAAATTTTTTGCCCAATTTTAAATTATTTAATTTTATTCCAAAATTACTCCTTCTCCTTTATACTTTGAAAGAAATAATCCTTCTCCACTGTGTATATTTTTTAAAAATATTCCATTACCCTTATGTTTCATTTTGACTTCTCCTGTGTCAATACTATCTACTAATTTATTTAATCCTTGTTTAACAATTGTCTTGGTTTCTTCCCCAAATCTTTTTCCAAATTCTTTTATTGTGCCTATCATATCTCCAACTCCTAAAACTTTGGCTTCCTTTTCCATTATTAAATTATGTCTGCGTTCTTCAGCGGCTTTAGCATCAGCTGCTTTCTTTGCGTTGGCAGCTTTGACAACCAGATATTCCACCAGTTGCTGCACCCGCCGCTGCAATACCACCAAATATTAAAGGTAGTAGGAAAGGTAAAAATCAACCTTCTTTTGCGTTCGCGTCAATTCTTTCTAAGTCTGTATCGTCTCTGACTTTACAATATTTGTATTTATCAATAAGTTTTTTAGTTATACTGATTTTTTTACCATTGAAAGTTATTACAGTTGGGGAATCTGTTTCAATAGCTTCTATTATTTTCATAACTAAAGTTTCTACTTTCATTTTTAAGGGTATATTTTTGACTCAATTCTTATCATTCTTCTATCTGCTTTTTTAATTAAATGTTTTGCTTCTTCTAATAATAAACAATACCCGGTCACATCTCCTTGTGTTTTTTCAATATGAATACTTATGTTCACTCCTGTTTTGAAAAGATCTTCTTAGTGAGCTGATAGATCAAAACAGAAGATTGGATGATTAAGTGCAAAATATACATATTCAAACTGAGGTGGATTTCCAAATAATTCACACATGTTTTGTGGTTGGATTAATTGTTAAAGGTTGGTTAGGATAAATATCGTTGTTTAATCTTACTTGAACTTTATGGATTATAGGATCTTGAGTTTGGTTCGTTGCTACTCTAAAGATATTATTGTTATTCGTTTGAGAATCTGGTAAGATCTTGAAACCAATCATTAAATATCTTGCTGGTTTAATAGTGTTAGTGATTGGCCATGTGGTGGATTCTCCAGTTAAAGCCATGCTACCTACCGTATTACGATGAAGAAAAGCTATTTCAATATCTTTAGTTAACGAGTTGAATATTTTCGTTTCTACTTCAATTGATGGTGTTATTACGGGTATGAAAAGTTGGAGATTCGTTATTTCTAATTTTGCATTTGAACCATTCTCTCCAAAGAATATCTTATCATCGTTGATTTCTCTTTGTAGATGAATTTTATATGGTAACCCTATGGAAACTTTTCTATGTTCCAACAGACCGAATAAAGGATATAATTTCCAATTTACGTAATTACCCCACCTATTATTCTCAACAACATTATTATACTGAAGCACTCGTTTTTCGAATCCATGATTAGCTGCTCGTGCTACTCTTTCCATTGTGTTTCGAGCAACAACTCTCACTCTAGCTAAATCAGCATCATTTGCAAGGTTTCTTACCGGTTCTTTTAAAACACTTCCATCGCCAACATCGGGTATCCAACCTGAGACTGAATAGAAATCTTTAGGATATAAAACTGTTTTCAACATTGTGTCGAATTCCCCAGGGTGTTTAATTGTTTCTATTGGATTTGAACCAGCTTCCAAAACCATCTCGATAAATAAAGATGGAAAGAAATTGTTTTCTAACGTTGTAATAGTTTGTGGTTCACGATTTTCATTGGGAGTTCCATCTTTAATTTTGAAATCGCATCTGAAATAAGCAACGGAAAGAAGCAACCAATTCGATAATGAATTTATTTCGAAGGTAATTCTACCACCATTATTCAACTGGGATTTAGAACCAACAGTTGGTGAGATGATAATATAATCCTCTATTTTTTTGTTAAGAAAGAAAAGATTTGATCTAGTATTTTATTTGCCATTTTTAAGGTTTAAAAATTGAGTAGAAAATTGTGGTCTGTTTTTTTTCCAAAAAAAGAGTTATCTTCCTTCTAGAAGTTTCTAGACTAAAAATAACATTATTAAAAACGAGGCTATTAAAAAACCGGATGTTAAGCGAAACAAGGAAGTTATTTTATATAAGGGTATTTTTAATGTGCTTTTTTGATGGAATGTAGGAATTGACTGATGGTGTTTTTAGGTGTAAGAATTTATGAAATGTAGGGTGTAGGGGACCTTTCAATATGGTCGCATTTTCCCCATGGAATGAAATGAAATGGGGAATCCCCTTGCGACAATATTGAAATGTCTTATACTACTGAGATATATATAGAAAAGACATGTATAGAAACAGCAACTGAAATTCCTAGTGTTCAGGTGAAATGAGAATTTAACTCATAGAAATTACGTTAAGTTCAATTAATCAATTAAGTTCTTGTTTAAGGCTGTCACGGGCCTATTGGTATAAACGTTCGGATACTTTTTTTGCATACTTTTGTAATGACTTTTGACATAGTGTGAGGTATTATTGAAGACATTTTCTGTACATTTCCAGTACTTCTGAAGACTATTTCCATATTTTTAAGAACCAAATCCAACCCACAAAGTTGAGAATCTGTCCCTTAAAAGTAGGAGGAGTTCATACCAGCTGGGTTCTACAGAATCGATCTCCAGTCTCCATCCTTCTATTGCTGGAGATGAAATATTTCTTGTTTTGGAATGATGGAAAATGCTTGTTACAAACCCCAAATGTGTAAAAAAAAAAAAAAAGACAAATCTTTAAACTGATAATTTTATTCAAATCGTCAATTTAATCTTAATAGTCACTACTCAGACCACGTGACTTTATGGTGTATTAACGAAATCAAAACCAGATTTCTCTACAACGGTACCAATTCCATTGTTAACAACCTCCAATCCATCTGTATTCTGTAACGTGGTGAAGTTAGCATTGTATAAATTGCAAACAAAAAGAGGAGGCCCACTGTATGACATTGTCAAACAACTTGGTTCATCTTTACATTTTTGGATGCATTGGGAGAGACCTTGAGTGAATCGATGAAAGTAGATGAGTGGTTTTTTATATGTTTTACATATACCACTGACTGATAGAGTAAAGCCACACCCGGGTGTTGTAGCACAATCTCTTTTACAATTGCGTGCAAATGTTATTTTCGGTAAACCTTTATTCACTACTGCTTTACGTACCACTGAAATATAAATCGTATCACAATAGTTTATAGAGGACAGAATTCGTTAACAAAGACCATTACAGGCCTGACAAATTTAGATGACTTGAATGACTTGTTGAGTCGCTATAGTTGAGTCCCCCTTTAAAACAATTGGCTCCCAGAGACCCTGGGCTAGCTACGGTACTGCACCATTATGATAAACATATTGAAGATTCAAAATAACTTTGAAATCATTAACCGTTTTACATCATTTACTAAAACAACGTTTATCTGCTACAGTGAAACACGGTAGTAATATGTAATAGTTTCTGACTTTTTGAAAAGACGATTTGGTTCCAATCTTGTACAAAAAACGTCATGTTGAGATCTTAGCACGATTCCTTTGTGTTTTAAATTGTCACTGGATCTGCCAAATATATTCGTACGTATTCACAATAAAAACACAAATCATGTTACCTTGACAAGCTTTCTGTTCTGTCCAAGTACCATTTTCTTCACACCTCAGAGTACCAGTTTCAACGAAGCCAACTGAGCAGCTAAAATTAAAAAGTCCTCCAACAATACTGGATTCTGTTACATCATCAGAGAGAGTGATATTCTCACCTTGTGGACACTCTACAGCTAAAATGTTAAAATTGCACTTATCCTAAAGCTTATTCAGGAAGATAGTTTTATATGGCAAGTGATTACACCCACTTACATTATTTCAGACAATATAAGATAAGGCCTCTAAAAACCAAGTAATGTAGGTCAACTGATAGCTTGTCAGGAAAGGTAAAAATACCATTTCAGTCGTAAGTCTGATTACAATTGCGAAAATGTCGGTTGAAATGAAAATAACATAGTGAGAATAAACATTTATTATTTAACCCAATACAATAGAGAGGCTGAATTTGACTGAACTATTATCAAACTATACTAAAAGAATTGTTCAGTTCAAGGGAAGTAACTCATGATATTTATGTAACTGAAGACATAGAATTGAAAGATATATATCTTTGGAGTTTTCGTAAAGCTCAGAATTTCTTTTAGATAATTCAACATCTTAAAAACTGTTACCTTGACAAGCTTTCTGTTCTGTCCAGGTACCATTTTCATCACACCTCAGAATACCCGTCACTCCATTCTGAGTGAAGCCAACTGAACATTCAAAACGGAAATCTTCATTAAATGTTCTGGATTCTGTTACATCATCAGAGTTAGTGATAATCTCACCTTGTGGACACTCTAAAGCTGATATAATAAAATATACTGATCAGACAATACCCAGAGAGTAAAGTGAAATCAAAATATGACAGTCGACATGCATCAATTCAAATTCGGTCTATATGTCGTTCAAACCTTACACACTAAGAAAGGCCTCCTATATTATCAAAGATAAATGTCAGAGTCAGGTGTCTTCAGAAAATGATAGCAATCCCTGTCTCTTGCACAACACCCTTTAAAAAAACATCTTTGATTTTAGAGACAAGACTCTATACTCTGGATATCAGAGTTAGCAAACTTTACGTAGTGTGTTGTATTTTCTATTGAACGAGCCCTGTTACCTGTCCTTTTATCACTTTCTGAAGAGTTTTTCAATTTTCAATGGAAATACTTATCACTTATGTTTCAGTTAACTGAAGGAAAGACAAACTTTACGTAGTTTGTTGTATTTTCTACTGAACGAGACCTGTCAAATCAGTAGTTAACTAAAGGCAAGAGAAAGTTTTTTAGTGTAAGAAACTGTTACCTTGACAAGCTTTCTGTTCTATCCAGGTACCATTTTCATCACACCTCAGCATACCCGTCACACCATTCTGGGTGAAGCCAACTGAACAGTCAAAACTGAAATCTTCATTTAATGTTCTGGATTCTGTTACAACATCAGAGTTAGTGATAATCTCACCTTGTGGACACCCTGCAGCTGATGAAGTAAATAAAATTTATCAGGCAATAACTTATTATTCCCGAAATAGTAAACTTAGCCCCATGCTTGACTTTCTTTCCAAGAGAAATACCTCATCTCCTTAAATTTGATTTTTAATCTCCTGTTTCTGTTTATATACCTATAGTGACAAATCTCTTTAGGGCTGTCACAGACACACAAGAAGGCAGTTGATTTCAGATGGCTCGATATGTATTTAGAACATTTAGAGGACTTCATTCTTACTTCAAAAATATGACATTTTATGGACCTGATGGCTACCCGAGTGCCCGCCCCTCCTCTAAATATACAACTGCTTACCTTCACAAGTTGGTTCCAAAGTCCAACCACCGTTTTTACAGGTGGTCTGAACTATCAATTCATACCCTTTTTTGCATTTGAATCGTTTATTTTCGTCACATGTCGGTTCCCACATTGCATTTATTGGCAGAACGTACTTCTCACAATCTACACAAAATAAGATAGGTGTTAACATAAAGTTCTTTTATTTGTAATTTAAAAAAAAAAATTATAGGTTCTAAACCACAGTAGAAATTCGACCAACATTAAAAATTGATTGAATTACTATTATTATATAATTATACATTATATAATATTTAGTAAACTAGAATAATGAAGGTAATTTTGAAAGGTTATTTCACATTTTGAATCTTAGACCTAAAATAAAAATCTTAAAACAGCATTTTTATCAGACATATCTTTCTGAAATAACAAAGAAGAAAAATTACTACTGACATTTTATAAAGAATTGTTTCCCAGTCCTCTTCAATCACAGCAATCTCTACTATACTTACCTGGTGTTTGTCTTTTTAACATGAAGGGGTAATTCTTGGGACTGGCCACTGGTAATGTTCCAGCCCACAGCAAGACCACCATCAACATCAAATTAGCATTGATCATCATATTGATTCGATATTCGAGTTGTATGAACAGTGAAGATTGTGTGAGTTTATATAGAGAATGAGAGACAGAGTGGGTTAATTTGTTACATCGAGCGGAAACAGTTAATGAGTTGTGGATATTCACGGCTTCCGAGTTAAGTTGGAAGCTGTATTGTGGCAAATCTAACGATTTGTCACGCTTTGTTTTCGTTATGTTTATTTATTTATTATTTTTTTTTTGTTTTGGGAACGTCCCTAGACAAAATCGAAAATGCTATAGCATAATTGTCTTCACCAAACATTTTTAAATGACCTGGAATCAAAAATGAATCACTAAAACGTAATTTTTGCCAAACCGGAAGTGTGCCATTGCATAATGTGCAAATATTTTGCATCAAGTCTGTAGGGCTTATTTATGAACCGATTTACCTGAAATTTCCTTTAGTATGTTCATTGTAATAAGACGTATCTGGTGAGACTAAAAAATTTCAATTTTTAAATACTTTTGTCAAAAAAATTTGAATCCAAAATTTTCAAAAAAGCTCAAAATTTCTAACTCAGCCGCTAATTATATAATTGATCTGAAATTCACAGGACATATACAGAATGGCCATACAAATAAATTTATACAATCAAAATTTTTCTATCACTTCCGGTTTTTGCGTGAGAACTTCCGGTTTTTTTAAATCACGCCTGGCACCCCCAATTCTGAATTGTTTGAAAATTCAAAAGGCCACACCATGTGACCTTGACCTTCGATGGCCTTGAAAATTTCACTGTAGGATGTTCTTGACCTCAGCTATCCACAGGTGTACTCATATTGGTTGAAAAATATTAACTTCCGGTTTAATAGCCATTCAAAAATTAACATTTTTGACAACTTTTCTAATAAACACAGAAAATTATTTTTTTCAATTTTGTAATTCCCTTTTGATTATCTTTTCAGTGATATATGACAATAATCCATTAAAATATGTTTTAAAAATATTGAGGTTTTTTTCGACTGAGGGTTCTAACTTACAATGTAATTAACTAATTAATATGGTTTGTATATTCAGGATATACTCAATTTTCTCTTTTCAACGATATGTGACATGGGTGGTTTAATACAAAATTGAATTTGTGAAAATAGGCATAAAAGTGTTAAATGTTTATAAAAAATGTGATAAAAATCTGTAGATTGTGGGGATTAAAATGATTGACAGGTGTTATAACAGGTTATATAATATGATAGGAAAGCTATCCATATGAACTTTTGACATGCAGGTGTGAAGTAGTTTGGGTCATAAACAGATTAATCTGATTTGTAATCTTTCAACATTTAAAAAAATAACTTTTTTTTTTCAATTTTTTTTTTCCAATTTTCACTTACAATAAGTTAACTAAAAGGGCGATGTTAGACGCCAGTTCCCATTACGTCTCGCCTATGCAGTTACTATTCACAAAGTACAAGGTCTAAGTCTCGATATCTTGGAGGGTCATTTGTCTATACTAAATTGTTTTCAAAAATTTGGTTTTCAACAACTTGTTCAGCATTACACTACTGAAGGTGAGACACTTATAGATCATGTTTATATCAGTAAAGAAATTCCGTCACATAATGTTCACATTTCACACATACCTGTATATTATAGCTACCATGAAGCTATTAAAATAACCATACGATAAGTTATATTGATACAAGATTGAATTTACCCTTTCACAAAACATTAAATTTAGCTTGGCTCTTTACTAAAAGTGGTCGAGTCAACACCAGGCTTGAGAGGGTTTGAAGTTCAAAAATGTCATACAGCTATCAGGCAAAGTATCACGGGCCACGCTTAGTGCTGTTCACAGGTCTAGTCTTTTTCTTATAATTGTTATCAGAGTACCTAGCAAAAACTGTAATAGTTAGAATATTTTTGGCATTGCAGCAGATCGCGGAATTACCTTTAAGATATATTTTCAGACATCAGACTCAAATGTGCCTCAAAATGTGTATGTGTATTGTTGAAAGTTTATTCGATTTTTACGAAGCTTGGCAAATGGGTATCAATTGTGATTATACAAAAACATTTTCCAAAATATTTCTCAAAATGTTCGAAAATTACCAAAAAAGGCCGAGATTTCGGACTATGATTTACAAAAACTTGCAAATGTAATCTAGTTTTTCTCATTTACTTTGGGCTATGCGAAGATTATCTCAAACACCCATAAAAAGTATCTTCCAACAATTACCCAATCCTACAGCAATAATATTCTCCCGATTGAAAGAGTCAGAAAGGCTCAGTGTTGCAACATTAAAGAATGAAATTTGTATTACTTGTTCAAAAAGTGAATAAAAATGACAACAGAGATAAAAAAAAAAAAGGCGTTTTGGCCTTTCTTGATCGGTCATTCATTAGAATTCTACTGGTAATTCTCTTCTAGTTTAGCTAATTATGAATTAATTATGGACATGTAAGACAAGTCCAAGTCATTAGAACACCTCTACTTTCTATTCATATAAGTTTTATCATTTTCATTTTCATAATGGAAAATAAGGGAACGCATCTTTAAAGAGTTTATCATTATTATTAAACATAGTCAAAATCATCTGTCTGATAGCTATTTTGATAGTTGGAATAGAAACAGATGTTTGGGTCTAACTATGTATGTAGTGTAATTAGCTACGGGCAACGCCATGCAGGGTGCAATGAGGCATTAGCCTGCTCTTTTTTTATTTCCAATTATCGAGGGATCTTTAACGTACACAGTCTGTAGCACACGTGGACTCTGTTTAATGTCCCATCCGAACGACTAGACGTTTTTTCCATGTGAGTCCCTCTTACCTGCATTACTGACAGGGTTTGAAAAATCCGAAGGTATCATCTCGGCCTATACCGGGATTGGACCCTGGACCTTCAGGTTAGGAAGCAAACGGGATGTCATGTATCTACTATACTAAAAAATTTACTATATTTAGATAAAATATAAATTGTACATGGTACATGGAATATTTATATACAAAGAATATTTAAAGAGTTTATTCATATAGAGAGTTTTTTTATACACGGCATATTTCCATATATAAACATTTATTTATATGCAATAATTATTCATATACACAAATATATATCTTTATAATCTATCACAAGATAGATTTATATTCAAACTAACAAACAAAAAATTTGTATGTAAAAATGATGACTGATAACTATAATGATCGCTCACATATGTTTTTGTTAGATTTTTAGATTATTTTTATCTTTCAAATTTACCAATTAGTATATCCAAATATATGGCGCTGTATCTGGTTCAAAATAGGATCCAAATCACGGGTTCATTTCTTAGGTAGAAATGACTAATCTTATAAAATAGAATTATTTTTACGTATTTTCCTACCTTATTTATTTTTTTCAATATTAGTCTTTCTAGAACACTTTGTAGAACACAGAAAGCTGATAGTAATCTTTGGAACTTCACCACTAGATCGAGTTAGCTGGATCGTAATCTTCGGATCGTCTTTTCGTAGATTGAATGTTACGGAAATCAATTCAGATCACGTGACATTTTCTGCATATCATTATCATTCGTGTTTCTAATGAAAAATAAACTATTCCCAGGAAAGATAACTCTGTACAGTATTTTCTTCTACATTTTATAATTTACGATCCCTCATGGATTTGTTTATTTTTATTATGTGTTTCAATATGATTATGAAGATGATACATGTCGAATTTGGTGATGATCCTTTTATTACTTCTGAGATATAAACAATATTAACTAAATACAACGTATATAAAAATTTTTTTGTGGTTATCTATAATTTTCCTTTCAGAATTGCATTTTATTGTGCCAATCAAGCCAACAGGTTTAACAATGCACAACAACACCTCACAGAAGGGACATCTAAATAATAATATGTTAAATAGGTTTGCATTTTGGATCCCAATTGATAGAAATCCCATGATTACTTAAGCTTCCCACTCAAACGTGAAGCGCCTCAATCATTTTGTACTATATAAATCGTATCTCCTTATTATTTCAGTCTACCCAGCTATAAATAAGTACTAGATAAGTCATCTCTCCTTATTATTCCAGTCTACCAAGCTATAAACAAGTACTAGATAAGTCAACTGTCTTTATTGTTCCAGTCTGCCCAGCTATAAATAAGTACTAGATAAGTCATCTCTCCTTATTATTCCAGTCTATCCAGCTGTTAATAAGTACTTGATAAGTCATCCTCCTTATTATTCCATTCTACCCAGCTGTTAATAAGTACTAGATAAGTCATCTCTCCTTATTATTCCAGTCTACCCAGCTATAAATAAGTACTAGATAAGTACGGTACTGAATATTTCATACTGGTAATTGTTACTGTACTGTCAATATTTTCATTCAAAATCAAAGCTTCCAGTGGGCGTATATTACCTTGCCTGGCAAGCTATATGTTTGAATTTCAATTTTTCTATTTCAGCATCTCCGTTAACTAGATTGTCACTTGTGATCCTAGTTTTTTATTTATTTCTATACATGGATATGTTTTACTCACTATGCGAGTGACCATTCACAGACAACAAATCTTTAAACTGATAATTTTATTAAATTCGTCAGTTTAATCTTAATAGTCACTACTCAAACCACGTGACTTTATGGTGTATTAACGAATATAAAATCAGATTTCTCTACAATGGCACTAAATTTATTGTTAGAAACCTCCAATCCATCTGTATTCATTACCGTGAATTATTCTTCATTCACAAACAACAAATCTGATCCCATAACAAGACTGATTCCACTAAACTTATCAATATCTGTCCGTGCACAGGGAAAACGCCCTGTTGTTGTTACAATAATTCGCCTTTCACCTGGGTCCTTCTCCAAAACATTTTAATTGCGAATGTCGGACTAGCAACAGTTACTATATGGGCGTGACTTATTATGTTAATCGCGAAACTATCTGTCCAGATAGAAGATACAGCCCCTTTTGTCCCAAATTTAACTACACATTTAACTATTTCATCCATTATCATGACATACATTTTATAACTACTGACATGGCCAACATCCTCAAGATTTCCAACAGTTGGTGTATTGTTTACGTTCACAGGTGATAGAAAACATTGGTTTGAATAATTGTCCCATCCGAACTAGACCAAACCCTTTATTAGCCAGTTTCCCCGAAACAAAAATTAGAAGGAACAGATTCGCCATTCATTTGACCAATTTTACCTTAGTCTCAGAAACAAGATTTCTTTTTGTAAGTCAAATCAGTAATTGTGTTCAAAGGTACCGTCGATATTTGAGCCTTCAAATCCACGTGTGTCTAGAATTATCTGCTTTTGAAAGTTTAAAGGACGACTCGTCTTTTATTGAGACTGAGATATATATAGAAAAGACATGTATAGAAACAGCAACTGAAATTCTTAGTGTTAAGGTGAAATCACGGGATTAGGTCCGAAGCAAGTCAGTGCTGGTAAGCTTGGTAATGTTTTGTTAGTTTTAACAATGGTGAAAATTTATTTTGGTGGTACCGCCTCGTCCTGTGCTTTGATAAAGAAAAAGCTGAGAAAAGTTGAAAATGCGATGGTTCATTGTAAGAAGACTGTATAAATGGATATTATGGATTTATTATGGATTTCTTCGAATGGAATTTACAACGTCATACATAAACAACAGAAAGAATCTATCTTCATAACTAAAGAGTTCGTAAAAGGGGAATAATTATAGTCTTGGTTAATAAGTCTCTCTCACAACAGTTTCTAACACTAAAAAACTTTCTCTTGCCTTTAGTTAACTACTGATTGGACAAGTCCCGTTCAGTAGAAAATACAAAACACTACGTAAAGTTTGTCTTGCCTTCAGTTAACTGAAACATAAGTGGTAAGTATTTCCATTGAAAATTGAAAACATCTTCAGAAAGTGATCAAACTTATAGTTAACAGGGCTCGTTTATTAGTAAATACAACACACTATGTTAATTATCTAAAAAACAAATTCTGTGTTTTATTGCCAGCTTTAAGCAAACTCCAAAAATATATATCTTTTAATTCTTATGTCTTCAGTTACATAAATATCATGAGTTACTTCCCTTGAACTCAAGAATTCTTTCAGTATAGATTGAGAATAGTTCAATCAAATTCAGTCTCTCTATTGTATTCGGTTGAACTAAATAATTGTTTATTCTCACTATGTTATTTTCATTTCAATCGACATTTTCTCAATTTTAATTAGACTTATGACTGAAATGGTATTTTTACCTTTCCTGACAAGCTATCAGTTGACCTACATTACTTGGTTTTTAGAGGCCTTATCTTATATTGTCTGAAATAATGTAAGTGGGTGTAATCACTTGCCATATAAACTATCTTCCTTTAGAATAATTTCACCCAACTCTATCACGCCATTCTACTGACAAATTCATTTTAACATTTTAGCTGTAGAGTGTCCACAAGGTGAGAATATCACTCTCTCTGATGATGTAACAGAATCCGGTATTGTTGTAGAATTTTTTAACTTTAGCTGCTCAGTTGGCTTTGTTGAAACTGGTACTCTGGGGTGTGAGGAAAATGGTACTTGGACAGAACAGAAAGCTTGTCAAGGTAACATGTTTTGGGTTTCTATTGTGAATAGGTACGAAGATATTTGAGAGATCCGGTGACAATTTAAAACAATGAAGGAATCGTGTTAAGATCTCAATATGACGTCACTATCCTTTACAAGATTCAAGCCAAATTGTCTTTTCAAAAAGTTCGAAACTAGTATATATTACTTAATTAAGCACAGTACATACCTACATCCATTTAACAAACAATTTAACGAAAGGACAATATGAACAATGTAAATTACTACCGTGTTTCACTTTAGCAGATAAACATTGTATTAGTAAATGATGTAAAAACGATTAATGATTTCAAAGTAATTTTAAACCAGCAAAAAGAAAAGCGATTGTTTAATTGGTGTAATACCACGGCCTTGTGCGAAGCTAAATTGTATATCTGTTTTATGAAAATAAAAGTAATTAATCGATAAGGAGGCGTGGTTTTAACGACGTTTGTAAGATGTGTCAATCACATTCTCTTCTTGTGAAACAACGAAAACCACCTAAGTCAGACGAAAAATAAAATGGTGTAAATATTTATTACCTTTATGCAGGCCCGTAGCTAGGGGGGGCTCAACTACAGCGACTCAACAAGTCATTCAAGTCATCTAAATTTGTCAGGCCTGTAATGGTTCTTTCTTAACGAATTCTGTCCTCTATAAACTATTGCAATAACAATACGATTTATATTTCAGTGGAACTTAATGTAGTAGTGAATGGATATAAACTGGGTGATTTTTTTGCAAACAATTGTTCAGAAGAATGTGCTATAAGACCCGAGTGTGGCTTTACTCCATCTTCCTCTGGTATATGTCAATTATATAGAAAACATCTACATCGATTCAATCAGTCCACTTCTTTCCCAATGCATCCAAAAATGTAAAGATGAACCAAGATGTTTGACAATATCACACGTTGGTCCTCCACTAGATTTGTGCTTTTTATACAATGCTAACTTCACCACTGTACAGCATACAGCTGGATTGTTTGTTGTTAACAATGGAATTGGTACCGTTGTAGAGAAATCTGGTTTTGAATTCGTTAATACATCATAAAGTCACGTGGTCTGAGTAGTGACTATTAAGATTAAACTGACGAATTTGAATAAAATTATCAGTTTAAAGATTTGTTTCTTTTTTTTTACACATTTGGGGTTTGTAACAAGCATTTTCCATCATTCCAAAACAAGAAATACTTCATCTATAGCAATAGAAGGTAAGAGTCTGGAGTTCGATTCTGTAGCACTCAGCTGGTATGAACTCCTCCTACTTTTAAGGGATTCACAATTTTGGGGGTTTGATTTGGCTCTTAAAAATATGAAAATAGTCTTCAGCAGTACTAGAAAAGTACTAGAAATATGTCTTCAAAAATACCTCACACTATGTCAAAAACGATTACAAGGTCTACAAGAAAAGTATCCGAACGTTTATACCAAAAGGCCCGTGACTGCTTATTAACGGAACAAGAACTTAAATAACCACATGGTCCATGGCAACACTCCCCAACACATCGCCACCTCCCCTACCATAGTAACTCTTTGAACAAATAATCTAATACATTTTCTTAGCCTTATATTCATTTGTATTATATGATGAATTTTCTGTTTTAGGTAACGGACTATGGTCCAGCAAGTCATTTTTATACGCCCACATGGAATGGGGGCGTATATTGCCGTCACCCATGTCCGTCCGCCCGTCTACAATTGCTCGTAAACACTCTACAAGACACAATTCTTGATGGATTTTAACGAAACTTGGCATGAGTGTTCGTAATCACTTAAGGATGAACCCTTTTGAAAATCAGAAGAATCGAAAAATATTTAGTATAAGTTATTGCCCTTGTTCTTGAAAACGCGTTCAATTTTTAGCTCGTAAACACTCTAGAAGGGACAATTCTTGACGGATTTTGACGAAACTTGGCATAAGTGTTTGTTATCACCCAAGGATAAACAATATTGAAAATCAGAAAAATCGAAAAATATTTAGTATGAGTTATTGCCCTTGTTCTTGAAAACGCGTTCAATTTTAGCTCGTAAACACTCTAGAAGGCACAATTCTTGACGGATTTTGACGAAACTTGGTGTGAGTGTTCGTAATCACCCAAGGATGAACCCTATTGAAATTCAGAAGAATCGAAAAATATTTAGTATGAGTTATTGCCCTTGTTCTTAGCCTGTAAACACTCTAGAAGGGACAATTCTTGGCGGATTTTGACGAAACTTGGCATAAGTGTTTATTATCACCCAATAATGAACCCTATTGATAATTAGTATGAGTTATTGCCCTTGCTCTTGAAAACGCGTTCAATTTTTAGCCTGTAAACACTCTAGATGGCCCAATTCTTGACAGATGTTATTCAGTATCGCCTCAAAAAGTAATTGTTACTGTACTGCCAAATATTTTTATATAAAATCAAAGCTGGTCATACTGAATAAGATCGTTTTTGTCAAAATCCGACTAGAATCGTTCCTTTAAGTTCCAATTTTGTACAGTCCACAGTAATGGGAATGTGGCAGTTTTTTTTTGATAGAATGGACAGGAATCCAACCACAAGGTAGCCTCAGATCTGTGAATAATTGCAATATATTGTTTTTTTCATGCTTAACCGCGTTAGAAAAAAAATGAACACCACTAATACTTTGTAGGCGTAACCCAATTCATGAGCAATAAAAAAAAGTTCATTTGCTATTCTGACGAACCAGGGGCCGGTTTCACAAAGATTACGATCGTCGCAAGTTTGCGACCAAGTGTAGTTTCTTTACTTGAAACATAACCCAAACAGGCCCGGTGTCGGCTTTCACCCCCTAATACTAAACATGGAATAAACATTGCACTTGAAAAAGTGTCTTGTAAGCCGCTTTCTGCAAATCAGTTTTGAAACGTTTACTCGAGTGTCTGAGACAGGCATACTGTTTTTACTTGCACTTGACACACCCACCTGGACCCACTTTTAAATCCATGTGAGATTTGAACGACCGCCACATGTTGTAATTGCTACTGTTTTGTAGCCTAGTACTTCATTTCATTTCCTTTTTCAGCAGTTTCCCAAGCGTTAAGGCGGTATTTAACAGCTCTACTCCTTAAATCTCGTTGTGTTACGGACCCATCCCCGTGCAACCCACCATTTTGAACGAAAGATCGGTCCTACGACATCTAAGTACATGTCGTAGCTAATGGTCTTAAATCCTAAGATACGACCAAAGTTGCGATTGAATTTATTTCGTGAAATCCATCGTAAGTTTTACGAACGACTAGCGACCGTCGTAACTCTTTTGTGAAACCGACCCCAGGAAAAGTAAGGAATCTACACAGCTTAATTGATGTAATAATTCACGTTAGCTTTTCTTTTTCTTACTCGAGTCAAGAATTTGATTCTGTTCATTTACTTTTCTTAAAGTCAAAGCTCTAATTCTTACCTTGAAACTTTTACTTCTTTCTCACTAAATCTAACTAAATATTCATCTTTTACCAGTATTCCAGTTTCTGTCTGAATTTTGAACTTTCTTTTTATCAAATCCTTGAGATGTATATGAATAAAACACTTCATCTCGCTGTTTTAGCGTCACTAAACCAGCTTGTCTACATGTTATGGCAGCTGCCATTATTACCCGTATTTTTAATATATCTGTACTGCGATTGGTCAAAATCTTGGCATTCAAAATATGAATTGTCGCGTATTAATTGTCTCTTTATGCGAGAGATAATTATTCTATAGAATCAATTTGCTCAGTTTTAGAAAGGTGGTAAGTAGGAAAATATATATCTCGTTTGTCACGATAAATCTACAGAAATTTTATTATTTCAGGCTAGGGGGGTTATAAAAAGTCATTAAAAATTTGTCCAGACATTGGAGTATAATGAAGGGAGACTTGACTTATCTAGTACATATTTACAGCTGGATCAACTGGAATTATAAAGACAGTTGACTTATCAAGTACTTATTAAAAGCTGGGTAGACTGGAATAATAATGACAGTTGACTTATGTAGACTGGAATAATAAGGAGAGATGACTTATCTAGTACTGGAATAATAAGGAGAGATGACTTATCTAGTACTTATTTATAGCTGGGTAGACTGGAATAATAAGTAGAGATGACTTATCTAGTACTTATTTATAGCTGGGTAGACCGGAATAATAAGAACAGTTGACTTATCTAGTACTTATTTACAGTTGGGTAGACTGGAATAATAAGGAGAGATGACTTATCTAGTACTTATTTATAGCTGGGTAGACTGGAATAATAAGGAGAGATGACTTATCTAGTACTTATTTATAGCTTGGTAGACGGGAATAATAAGGAGAGATGACTTATCTAGTACTTATTTATAGCTGGGTAGACTGGAATAATAAGGAGAGATGACTTATCTAGTACTTATTTATAGCTTGGTAGACTGGAATAATAAGGAGAGATGACTTATCTAGTACTTATTTATAGCTGGGTAAAGTGGAATAATAAGGAGAGATTACTTATCTAGTACTTATTTATAGCTGGGTAGAATGGAATAATAAGGAGAAATGACTTATCTAGTACTTATTTATAGCTGGGTAGAATGGAATAATAAGGAGAGATGACTTATCTAGTACTTATTTATAGCTGGGTAAACTGGAATAATAAGGAGAAATGACTTATCTAGTACTTATTTATAGCTTGGTAGAATGGAATAATAAGAAGAAATGACTTATCTAGTATTTATTTATAGCTGGGTAGAATGGAATAATAAGGAGAGATGACTTATCTAGTACTTATTTATAGCTTGATAGACTGGAATAATAAGGAGAGATGACTTATCTAGTACTTATTTACAGTTGGGTAGACGGGAATAATAAGAAGAGGTGACTTATCTAGTACTTATTTATAGCTGGGTAAACTGGAATAATAAGGAGAGATTACTTATCTAGTACTTATTAATAGCTGGGTAGACTGGAATGATAAGGAAAGATTATTAATCTAGTACATTTTTTGAGTTTGAGCTTCACTACCATGAGAACTGAGACAGGGCAGGCATCCTTGACCTTCCAGAATGACTGATGACTCTCAGAGTATACACATATTTAATATTTGGTATATTTAATTATAGAATCAGATGTTGTATCAAGGAATCTCTATGATTTTCGTTTAAAGAAAGAACTTATTGAAGGTTGATTTGTATTCTCTACTTCAGTCTTACTTCGCTTTCTTTTAACTCCCTGTAATAAAAAATAAACATTAAAGGTTATGCAAAAAGAACAAGAGCTGATACAATTACAAAGATTTAAAATAAAAAGAAAGACATCTTTGTTCCTACCTTATTAGGCATTTCTTTTAAACTTTTTTCATACGCACGAAAAACCTATAAAATAATATGTAAAATCTAAATTAAGTTTTCTGCAGGCAATTATCAAATTATGTAGTTGACACCATTTTATAAGGTGTTTTTTTTTTTCTTCTTTAAAGTGATTGTAAAGAGGTTCTCTAGCCTTTCATGTGTATCAGGGACACCTTTGACTTTTATTTGGGACATTCCAATTCTTCATCCAATGCCTATGGTACCAAAAAGTTAACTGGAAATGACGCAGTTCCCGGAAGAAAATACCTAATCATTATACCACCAGACCACAATAACATAATAATATATGTTATCTCCCCTTACTAGATAGTGGCAATTCTAACTAAAAATTGTCAACTCATTCACATTTTACTACACTGTTGCTTTAACAACTCTTTATTACGTCTTATATTCCTTAGTTTTAACGGGATTGGAAAAGTTGTATTTTATTTGTGCAAATCAGGGCGCTAAATATCCTTATTTATGATAAAATTGCCAGTTTTGACATTCGTTAAATCAAGTTAGTCCAGTAAGTGAACATGGCTTTACTACTATATAGAAACCTGTTGAGATCTA